GCCGGGACCAGGTCTGGGAGAGCAGGATAGGACCCACAGCCCACCGGGAGACAAGGACTGCCACCAAGTCTGGCTGCAAGCAGGACCTGTACTATAAAGGCCAATTTTCAGGTGAGGTTACGATTGCTACATTCGCCCTCTTCCTCATGCACATGTGTGACTACACCCAACCCCTCTGTCCCTGCTCTGATGACTGGCAGAGCACCAGCTGCTCACCATGAACCAGTTCCCCGCCTCAGTTTCCCCAGGTCTGAACGGCGCCTTTGGGTCCGTGCTGGACACAGGAGGGGAAAAATGTGCTGTGGCTCACATTGCTGTCACTCCAGTGCAATGGGAACCAGTTTATCCCAGCAGATGACAGAGGCAAGTGGATCTATTGGCTTGGCACACATCAGAGCCTTTTGAGGGCCAGGCACTGGGCAGTGGTGGGTATTTGGGGGCTGCCAGGCAGCTGGGGTTTGCATACTCCCTAACTTTTTCCCTTAGAAGCACCCAAGCAGTTGCTGATGCTGGCAGAGATCCTTTCTTCCAACTTGTCTTTCCCTCAAAGAGCCAGTGAAAGGTTTTGGTGCCATGACAATACCCAAATGCAGGACATTTTCCCACACAGGTAAGACCAAGCCCAAAAATGCCACTTAGAATCACCAAGTCCTGAGACCAACGTGGTCACCTCCAAGATGCAGGGAGAGACCAAAGCTGAGCTGTGGCACCAACACAGCCTGGCAGAGCCCAAGAGATGGGTTCAGGCCCATGGCTGCCCCAGGTGAGGTGAGGAGGATGTCTGTGGCCACAGGGATGGCTGTCAGAGGCACCAGCAGCCCCAGAGCAAATACCTGCACTTGGAGCTCGTGCATATTCCTTGGTTTTAGGTTTGGTCCTTGGTTTCCAACCAGGTTGTTTCCCACAAAGTGTGGGGCCACAGCCCTTGCAGGACACAGTATTCAAAGCCCTGGCCAAAGAGATGTTTCTTGTTTTCCAAATTCCCCTGTCCAGCTGGGTTGCTGGACTGGGTTCATGATGGAGCTGGGCTCCTCTTGCCCTGGGCATGAGGAGGGGACATGTCTGTCCCCAGGTTCTCAGCACAGGTGGCCCTGTCGCTGCTCTGCCCATTGACAGCCCAACTTCCCCAGGAAATTTCGTGATGCTCATTACACTCCACAACCGAGAACAACAAGCTCCTTTCGGAGAGGGTGCTTGTGAAAGCAGGGTGGAGGCCAGGGCTGGCACACCCTGGAGAACACCCTTAAATACCCTGCCAAACAGAAACCCAGCCAGGCCACAGGTTTCCCCGACCCGCTGCTGCCAGCAAGCAAACACCATCCCTGTCCCTGCCCGTGGCTCCCGAGCAGTCAGACACGGGGCAGGTCCTGTGGGCACTGTGGCAGTGGATGGCAGCATCTCCCCATCAGGGAATGAGTGATCCTTGGGATGCTCATCCCTTAACACCCCAAGCCACAAATGCCAAACTGTCCTGTGCCTGTGTTAAATGGGGCTTCCCAGTAAAACCAGTCCCTGGTTTAGCTTACACATGTATTTTCCTGTTCCCAATGGTGCAGGAGGTGGTGTGTAGGGAGCAGAGCAAGGCCAAGGGACTGTGCCAGCAGTCTAACCACTGCATGGACACCCTATCCTCGGCCAGACATCCCCAGCTCCTCAACTTTGAGCATCACTCAAAAGTGATACTGAGTCACAGGCCATGCCTTTATTTTCTGGCAGCTGCTGCAAGGATGGAGGCATTGGCACTCATTATCACTCAGATGCTTTTATCTCCCCATCCTTAGGAGCTGGCTGGACCTCCAGACCACAGTCTGGAGGAGGGAGAAGGCAGGGAATGTTTTGGGGATGTCCAAGGTTGTACGGTGGTTCTGCTGGAGATGCAGGTTTGCAGGCATCAAGTGAGCATTGCAGCATTCCTGCTTGGCTGCTGGGTACCACATCTGGCCCATGCGGACACAGCTGCTTCCCCAGGCTGATGGTGGCACGGTGATTACTGGCTGCTCCCCTGGGATGGCACGTGTGCTCTGCCATGTCACATGGGACTGACATGGGAACCGAGTAAGGACATCACCCACAGAACACCAGGTAGGTCCTACAGGCAGAAGGGACCAGGGGGAGGAATGTCCCTTGGGCTGGAGCACCTAGTCCTCAGCCCTGCCTGATGTTCCTCTTTCCCAGCCTTGCCTGGAGCTGGTGACAGCCACAGTGCCCACACTGGAGGGTGACGCTGGGGTCCGGGACCTGCCAGGCCAGTGCAGGCCATTGTACCCCACTTGCTTTACTATTTCCTGCCCATCCCATCAGGGATTCATTTCCTGGCCCAGCAGCTGAGTAACACATGGCTGTAGGAAAGTGGAGGGCCAGGACGAGAGTGAGGGGAAAGGGGGTCCGCGTGTGGCACCCCTGGCATGCCCTGGCTTTGCTGTGCCTTGCACAGTGCCCCCAGCAGCCCAGTACAGGGCTGGATGTGCCACCAATACAACCTGGTATGGATGCAGCACCTCGCCTTGAAACTGCTTTTGGGACCCTCCATGGCTATTCCCAAAAACAAAGTGCCCCAAAAGGCAGCAGCATGGACACAGATCAGCGTGTCTGTGAGAGCACTGCTGGGCGGGCTGGGAAAGCAGGAGAGGTGGAGGGTCATTTTATTTTAATTCTGGCTTTAGGTATTAACAGGACAAATAATTTTCTACATTTGCTTAATGCAATTCAAAAATAGGAGCAAAATGTCAAGCAATGACATAGATTCTGCCATCAGTTTTCTCAGGGCTGGAGCAAACTCTCTGGTACCCATTGTCCCGTTACCCATCGCCCCAGCTTGCTCCCAACAAAGAGCACAGGGACACATCTGCAGATGGCACTGAGCATCCCAGGGGGAGCCAGGGCAGAGCAGGGTGTGGGGCATCACTGGTACCCCAGACCCATCTGTCTGGATTCATCCCACTGAACACTGACAGTGCTGCTGGGAACAAGTGTATTTTGAGCACAGGCACTGCCTGATCATTCCAGGTCATTATCCAGATCATCATCATCCCCAGCTGCTGAACGTCCCTGGTCCCCCATGACACTCAAACTCCTGGCTTGCTCTGGCACAGCCCCGAAACCAGCAGTGAGGATGGGGTTGTGCCCAGCACTGCTCATGAAAATGCTGAAGCTGGAGGGAAACTGAAACCAGGAAATCATTTTGGGAGGACTTGAATCAAGCCCAGCGATGGAGCTGGCTCTGTGCCACTCCACATGCTGGGGTGACGGTACTGAGCAGCCGGATACCCCAGCACCACAGCATCCCCTATGTGAACGAGGGATCAGCTCAGCAGTTCCAGGGGTGACAGATCAGATCAGCAGGGGCACATGGGTCCCAGGGGGAATGGTGAGTGGGAAACTCTCAGTAGCTGGGACAATACTGACACCAGCTCCTCGGTAGCACCACTAAATGGGACCATGTGCTCTGCTGGGGCAAACCCTGGCACTGCAGGATTGATGCCCTGTACATCCTGTCCTGGATGCTTTGGTGGGAGAAAGCTGGGTGGCAAAGGCACAGAGGAAGCTGTGGGACCCTCGGCTGGCGTGGGAGTCAGGTCAGTGCCTGTCACTGCATGTGGTGCAGCACTACCTGCCCTCTGGCACCGGGGACCCCGCTCATGGAGAGCCCTGCAATGCCAGCCTGAGTTCTGGGGCAGCTTGAGGGGAGTAGTGATCTCAGCTTTCATCATTATCTCTCACTTTTTTGGAGTGACAGGGACAACTTCCAGCTGCTCCTGCTGACTGATCTCTGTCTCCTTTCAGGATGTACTTTGACAACAGCTATATTTTCCTGTTGCAGGACACCAAGCTCTAACACATCAGCGCTCTATGAAGCCAGCAGAGCCCAGGAGGTCCTGGTGGGACCTGATGGGAGCAGCCATCACCAGGGGAGACACACGGGTGAAGGCTGGACTACCTGACCCACCGTGGAACTGCACCGGCTGGAGCAGCAAGTGCAGGGCTGCCAGGAGGGCATCCAGCCCAGAAAACACCTAAACCCAGACAGTAAGTCCTATACAAGCACAGGTGGATTTCCCAAGGGTCCTGTCCCCTCTCGGGTGAGCCTGTAGCCACCAGTGCCTGGGCAGAGGTAGCAGCAGGCACAACACCACGCTGCTCTGGCCCAAGGACAGGCTCTGCCCTCGCAGGAGGCGCCAGGGACGGACCTGTCTGCCACAACATCCCTTTGTTACCACCCATTATCTCACTGCCACAAAGCAGCAAAGCTGTGCTGGGACAGCCGTGTCCCAGCAAAACTGGGCACCAGCTGTGGGGACCCTCGCCCACACTCATCCCCCTGAGATGCCCTCTGGCTGTGTTTTGGAAATGCGCCCATGGCAGGGATGGCCAGGCTTCCCCTGTCCCTGGAGTTTGGTGCCATCAGCTGTGGGCAGTGATGGTGACCAATGCAGAGGAACCTGGGGGAATTTGGGAACCAAAAGGCCTGAACAGGGTAGAATACAGATTCTGGCAGCTGGCCTGGTGCTGCCTTTTACCTCTGCTGTGATAAACCCACAGCCTGGCCCTTCTCCACAGCCACAAACAACCCCTGAGCGTGGCACTGTGGCTTGGCAGGTATGCCAGCACACGGGATGGCTGCGGGCCACAGCACTGGGGTCAGCCAGGGATGCCAACCCCAAACCCTTCCATGTCCCTGTCACTGTAGACCTCCCATACAAACACCCCTTATTTCAACCACCCTGACCCCACTGGTGTTTCAGGGCATGGGGCTCCCACGGGGTCCCACGAGGCCAGGGAAGGCTGAGCAGCACGGCCGCCCACCCGGCGAGGGATGGGGAGATGCACGGGGCATCCATGACCCCATCGGAGCCGCTACCTCCGGGGCAGGGAGCCCAGCCCTCGGCCCCGCTCAATAACCGAGCTAACGAGAGCCGCTGTCAACAAGTCTGCAGCTCCCCAGCCGGCGCAGGAAGGACGCCTGCTCCAGGGATCCGGGAGGAGAAACCTGTTTCACTGACCTTGCTCCATCACCGCCTTCTTGGTTGCGCCGTGGGCGTTTGGGGCTGCGGTGGGGGGCGAGCGGCTCGGCCGCCCCTCAGGGGCACGGCGAGGAGGAGGAGGAGGAGCGGGGCTGGGGCCGCATCGCCGGCGGGCCGGGGGTGTGGGGGGACGCGCCGGGCGGGAGGGCGAGACCCCGCTCCGTCGATGCGGTGCCTCGGCGGGGCTCCTCGCCTGCCTGCGGAGCCTCGCTCCACCCCTCTCCAGCTAATAAAGCCTCCGCCGCGCCGGTCCCTCCTTTGCCACTGACTCACAGGCTGACCCAGCCCAACCCCCGAACTGCCCCGCACCTCCATTTTTTGACCTACAAAGCCGCGCTCATCCCCAGCGCTCTCCTGCTGCCTTACATAAGAGCAGCCAGCGCCAAACCAAACCCTGCGGCACTCGGACACCCGCGAGTGATGCCCGAGGGGCAGCAGTGGGTGCTCGGCGGCGCGGTATGGGCTCGGTCACCCGTGCCCAGGGGCTGCGCAGCCCGCGAGGGCACTCGCTGATGCCCCAGACAGCATCTCCCCAGGGGCTTCGCTCGCGTTTCTGGGGGTGGGAAGAGGAGGTGAACAGCCGGTGTCGTTCTTGGCATGGCATCCTGCCTACTCTGGTGCCAGGGAATGCCTTCACCCCGCTGTCCTGGTGCTTTGGCATCCCTCCAGTACCCCGAAACCCGGCCGGTCGGGTTTGCAAAGCAGGCCAGGGACGGCTGGGAAGGTGGAGCCTTTATGGGCACCGGTCGGGCTGTGATGGTCTGTGCTGGACTCATCTCTGCTGGTCAGGGAGCAGTTCTGGCCACATCCTGCCCCTTCTCCTCTGCCCAGGGAAAAATATAAAAATATCTTCATTTCTTTTTTTTTTTTTCCAGTTGCTTTCACAGACAACACACTGCTCCATGTGAAGCAGGACTGTGCCCCAAAGGGTCCTGAGGTGGAGGATGAGCATCTTTGGGTCACAGCAGGGACCAGGTGACAGCACCCGCCAGAACCCCTGCGGGAAGGCTGCTGGCAGAGGGGCCCATGGAGCACCCGGCAGATGCAGTGAGACCCAGGAACTTTGTGTTCCAGGACTGGCCGCGGTGCCGGGCCAGGATGGGCAGGGAGAGAGGCAGGAGCCGGCTCAGCCGCGGCCCAGCGCTGCCTGACGTAAGAGGTTATACAAGCCCGTGCGGGCAGGGTGCTGCGAGCAGCATCGGCATGTCTGTGACTTGGAGCCCTGCTCCGGCTCCAGGATAACGCCTACAGGAACGGGGACAGCCCTGCCCCGTGCTGGGCATCCCTCAAGAAAACCCAAGATGGCAGTGAGGGCAGCCCGACCCTCCTCAGGAGGCATTTGGAGGTGGCGAGAGGGGCCCCTGTGTGCCAGTGGAGCAGCACATCTCCTCCCACTGGCACCAGGTGATAGATCAGCCCTCGGTATTCGAGGCAGGCGGCAGAAGGTGTTACTCACCTGGCCCGGGGCTGCTCGGCTCCGCCGGGCAGGGATGCCACGTGCTCAAACCGCCTTTCCCAAGGGAAGATCAGCCTCCTGGGTGGCTTTCCATGCCAGGGGGGATGAGCAGGTCCCCTGCCCTCCCCAGGCATCCCACGGCACAAGGATCTGGAGGAGGTGACACGGGATGGGTGCCTTCCTCTCTGAAGGTGACCACAAACTCCCTTTCTCACCACCTCAGGGACAGGTGATGCCAAGAACTGTCCCAGCCTTGACAGCAGGATAAGGTTGTGCTGGGACTAAAGGCCGAAAGAATCACCTTTTTACACTATTTATTCCCAAAATTATTGTGTATGTAAAGAAGGAGGGGGAGCTGGCACCACTGGCTGTCTCTCCTCATGTCCTCCCCACCCTGGCTCCCCAACAGTGCCACCTCCAGCAGAGCCTTCCCAAGGGACTGAGGGCAATGTTCCATATGGCAGGGGATGGGCATGGGAACCCACACGTGATATCACTGTGGACTTGTCTTCTGGAAAGGTGATTTTGTTGACCACAGGACTTTTTACTATGGGAAAGGGACACCTGCTGTTAGGCGGAAGCAGAGGTCACAGGGATATTTTTTAGATGTCTGAGAGAAGGTTTTCTCCCACTGTGGAGCAGATGGAGTGAATTCCTGTGTGACAGGGTGTCCGTGGGCTGGGAAAACCCATCGATCCATGTGCAGGCCGAATCTGGGATTTCCTATCCTCTCCAAGGAGACTGGTTTCACCCCTTTTTCCAACAAAACAAGAGTCTTAGTCATCCCTCTTCCAGCAAGTCTCCTGGTCTCACAGAGGCATGACCTTTGCCACGTGCCAGAAGGCAACATCCTTGTTGGGAAGCAGACCCAGGCTGGCCAGCGGGGCTATTCCCAGAACTGCCTCTGGCCTCTCTTGGTAAATCCTGCTATCAGCTCCCTGCCTGGCTCCAGCTGGCCATGACCCAGCCAGGGATGTGGTCATAGGACGGATTCTGTGTTTTCCAGCAGATCCGGCTACCCTTGGGCTCCCCGGGCTGGCAGCTGCCTGGGAGGTGCCAGCAGCACCTTGTGAACCCTCCATGCGCTTCGGAGGAACACTCCAGGCTGTGCCAAGGTCCTCGTGACGCTCGTTGTGCCACAGCAAGCGCTGCAGGAGGCCAGACTTATCTCCACCTTGTGCCAAGCTTGGCTCATTGTTGATTGTTCGCTCTCCAAACAGGAAGAAAGGTAAAAACAAACCCTACTTTTTTTCTGCAGAACTGCCCTCTGGGTTCTCCGTTCCTGCTGTGTCAGTCTCCAGCTGCTCCAGATGTGGCACCTGTGGGGCAGCAAGGGCCCTCTGGAGGGTCATGGCCATCTGATGGACCAGAAGAGCCCTCGCAGGATGAAGTGATGGCTTCAGGGTTGAGCTCTTGTTAATTTTGCACCCAGTCTCATCCCTGTGGTCCCTTTCTCCCTGTGCCCTCCAGCCCAGCAACTTCTAGAACTCGGGGATTGGAAACCCTGAAAATTTGGTGAGGAATGCCGAGTATGGCTCGGAGGCCCTCAGGTCCCCTGGGCTGGCAGAGCAGGCAGCTCTACCTGCCGCGACAGCTCCTACACCCACAGTTTAGCCCTAACCTGGTTTCTATTCTAAGCCCTATTTTTTTTTCATAGGCCTCCTCCCTCTTTTGCTGTGCCCCACTTTGCCCTCCCGCCAGTGAGCTCCGGCTGCCGCTGACCCCGATCCCAGCGGGACCTTGTCAAAGTCGGTAATAAAACACACTGGTGAGGTGAGGTTGCTCAGGTCAGGGGTGGCTCCTGCTTCCCCAGGCTGGGATTAAGGAGCAGCACCTTGGATTTGCCTGCAACAACTTATGGTGGGAGGGGAAAAGTGGGAGGAATGGGGCCAGGGGGATGTTTCTTCCACAGGAAAACCAGCTGGAGGATTAACATCTTTCCTGGTGTTTGTGTTTTCTTAGTAGGCTGCAAAAATGCCAGTTTTCAGGCACTGGGGATAGAAAACGGCTCCTTCACCCAGTGGTGCTGGCAGGACTGGGGATAAAGCCATATGCCAGCCAGAGCTGACCCACAACCTCCTCTGGGCTCCTTCAGATATTCCCTTGGTGGACTGGGATCCGGAGCACCACTGCTCCAAAGGTATCATTAGAAGAGTCGTGTTTTTCCAAGCTAACTGGTTGTATGGGTCCGGCCATGCTGATGAAATAGCTGCCAGGCAGCGTGTGAGTTATCCCTCTGGATGGCAGGGAGCATTGGGCACTCGCCTGGAAGAAGAAACAAAAACTGCCCTCGGTGTGGTGGCCAGTTCGGCAAGGCTCTGGTGAGCTGCCTGTGCCCACTGGGAGGGATGTAATGGACAAGGTGGACACACTGGGTACTGGCTGGGTGAATCCCCAAGCCTGGCAGGGAGATGGAGCTGCAGCAGATCCTCTCCCCATGCCCTCAACTCAACCATCACCTCCCCACAGCAGCTGAAAGAGGGAAAATAGGTTCTGCTTTTGCGAGACCTGCAAGGTGGGGGTGCGTTCTTGGAGTCTGGCTGGATTTGGGCAGCCCTTTGGCTCCCGACCAAATTTCCAGCCCAAATGAGTGACACAGCTCATTGGCTTTCCACCCTGGCTGGGTGGCTCGCTCCCTTCCAGGCACTGCCTCCCAGGCACGGCAGGTTACATCATGGCCCCAGCTGTCCTCACCTTCCCTCCGGCTGGAGCAGCGTGGGATCGGGCACCTGCCCGGAGACCGTGGCACCTAATTGCTGTTTGCACCCAGGGTGGCACCAACTCATCATGCCAGGGAAGAGCATGGACCCGTGCCTGGCAGAAGGCAGTGCCCATCCAGGTGCAAGGGACAGCATCGTGCAATCCCTCCTCTTGCCAGTTAAAGATGTCCATGGGCTTCTTAATGAGCAGGGAGCTTTCTGTCTTGCAGGAATTCCTGGTTTCCATGAATTCAATGTATCCTGATCCCACCAAGAGCAGCAACAGAGTCAAGACCCAGGTACTGGCTGGCACCCACATTAGACTGGGCAAACACAGCAGCCCCAACAGAGCCTGTCCAAAAACTCCTGGGAGAGAAGATAAAAGAGACTCAACCCTGAGTCCTGCTCTCCCTCCCAGCCCCTTTTCCTTCTGGCATGTGAATCCAGCAGTGGAAGCTGGCAGGGAGACTTGGCCCCCAGTAGCAGCCGTGGGTAGTGGCACTGAGCCATCCCAACAAACCATCTTTGCTGAGCCATGGCCCCAGCCCAAGTTGGCAAGTGCTGGGTAATGCCATCCTGGGCCCTCATCCTCCCTCCACATGCTGAGGAGGTTGGAAATGTCCCTCCTTCCTCGAGAGGGCAGAGGATGGAACCTGGAGTTACCCTGCCTGCACCCAGCACTAAAAATTTTGTGTGGGTGTCTGATGGGGAGCTGCCGGGCTGGGTCCCTGCCCATGGGGACATGTGTGTGGCTGGCCCTGGTGGCTCTGGCTGAGGACCAGGAGGGCACCTGGAAGGGCTGGGGTTGGGCAGTGCCATGTTTAAAACTTATTTAATTTTCAAGGACTAGAAGTGTAGTGTTGTGCCCAGGAGCGTTGTTCCAATAGCTGGCTGATGACTGGCACTGGAGCAGCGGCTGGTTCCCTCCTCAGGGCCCGTTGCTGCCAGGACAGGACCCCGCAGAACTCCAGGGTCACAAAAGAGCTGCCAGGCCAGCAGGTGAGAAGACTCAGCCATCCCTTGGTGGCACCATCGTCGGCAGGCTCAGCATTTTGGAAGCGGAAAGGGACGGAGCCCACGGCATCTCCACCGCACTCCTGCGTTGGGTAACACCTGGCCAGGCAGTGACGCCAGGCACAGAGGGGTGGGGGCAAGCAGTTTCGGTCGGGGCAAGAGCAGAGGCACCCAAACCAGTGATTACCTTGGCCCTGAGCTGCTAAGTGGAGGAAGTCTGTGATTAGTTGACACCTCCAGCCAGGCTTTGGAAATTAAGCCGGGCTGGAGCAGGGGTGGATGACAACTGCTTTATTCACTGCTGATATATAAAACTGAAAACACAGTCTGGGTACGGTATCAGGATATTCTGGTGGTGGACATACAGCGAGTCCCAGAGGCTTTTGGGGTGCTCATGGGCAAAGGTGGGTTTTGGTGCTGTGGCTTTGATCCCTGGGCTGGGATGTCCAAGGGCTCAGTTACTTTGTGCTGGGTTTGATTTTCATGTGCATTGAATGAGCCTCCATCCATCAGCCACTGCCGCGGGTCTCACCCAGCCTTGAGAAGGCAAGGAATTACACCTTGGGGCTTGTCCCTGAGCTTTGAGTTTCTTGTGTTTAGAGGAGGCTACTGGAAAGGGGAGAAGGGAGGAGGTTGTGTTTCACTTCATGGTGTAACTCAGACCAGGCATGTATCCAACCCCACACAAGGAATAACTTCCTGCTCTGTCTGGCAGTCCCATGGATCTGTCACTGCTCTGCAAGTGGTGGGGTGCTTGTGGTCTATCCCTGCAGCACAGCAGCATGCTGGCCTGGCCAGGACCTGGAGGACCATCATCCCAACCCCAGAGTGGGGAGCATTCAGGTTCTGTCACGCCGTGCAGCCCCTAAAGCTTACAGGAGCAAGGAGTTAGGGTGATGTCTCCACACCTGGCTGCTGCTGGCAGGTAAATCCCAGCTCCTCTCACCCTGGAGTGAACATCACTGAGGTTTAGCAGAGCAATTCCCCGTGTCTGACCTCTGCAGCACTCCCATGTGGAGGTGAAACAGAGGAGAAAAACATGGCAGCAATGGAAAGGATGATGTGGATGTCACTGGGGGTGTGGGGCCTGCACCCCCTTTCGGGCTGGACAATGCCCTTTGTGGGGTTTTGCCATTCAGCCACTTCCCAGAAGAGGTGCTGGGGCAGCGCAGGGTGGCACTGGAGCAACACAGAGCCTGGATAAGACCAGGCCTCTGTCCACAATGCCTCCCCCGCAGCCGGTGCACGACCCGGCGCAGGGCAGCCTGGCTTTGCCCGCCCCGTCTCGCTGTCGTCCGGTCTGAGCCACGCAAACAGATCGCCCAGATTAGCCAGTGCTGGCATCCAGTTTCTTTCCGGAGCTACTGAGTGTGAGTGGGAAGTTTTCTGCTGCCCAAAGTGACCACTTGTGCCCTGCAAACAGTGAGGTGTCCCGGGAACGGTGTTTATTTAAGGTTTAAAGCATGAACTTGCCATGTCCCGGCAGGGCTGGGAGGACATGGGCTGTCAAACGGCCCTGGATAGGTCTGGCATCTCGCTACCCCTGTCAGCCCTGTCTCACTTGGGCACCACTGGAGCTTAGAGGAAGGCTGTGGCTGCACCCAAGGTCTTGATCTGGACTTTGCCCCCCATGGGATGGGGCTCGATAGCTCTGCCCCCCAACACCCAAAGGTTTCGTCCCTGGGAGGGGACTTTGCACCCCCTGGGCCAGGGCTCCGTGGCTGTGCCACCCCCAGCACCCACTAAGAGCTTCTTGCCCTGGCACATGGATCAGGCTGGGTCTCACATTTTGGAAGCCCACCAGCCCATGTCTGAGCATCCCTTGGGAATCCACCAGCCCAGGGCAGAGATTCTGGAGCTTTTGGCCAAACGACAGTGCAAGCAGCTGTTGCACGGGGCTGTGACTCCCTCTGGTGCCTGCCCCAAGGCTCCCAAGCTTGTCCTTCACTCTTTCCTCATCCCACAGCCCCAGGGATGGAGGGTTTGGGGTGTCCCAGCTGGCCGTGGGACAGCCTTGGGATGGGTGGGTGAGTGGAAACCTGAGCTAATCTCCCAGCTTGGCAGCAGCTGTGGGAGCTGCCCGGCTGTGGAACTCGGGATGTGCCAAACACCCTTGTGCTTGAATTTGGGGGATGGAGCCGCTTTCGGGGTGATGGAGGCAGAGCTTTGCCTGCAGATGGAGCTCCTCGCTCGGCCGCTGGGCTCAGGGAGAGGGGCGGGGCAAGGTAATGAATCGGGAGAATTTCTCCTTTTTGAGGACCTCGTGGCTCTGCCAAACCCCAAAAGGCAAAAGGCATTGTGCTTAAATTCTTCCTGCTGGGCAGGGGATGGTGGTAATTAATCGTTCATTAAGTTAATTACCCAAATGTGCTTGGACTGAAAGAGGTCGGGGAGGGGGGGGGGAATCACACCAGGTATTATAAAAGTGAATCTCTGCAACCCCAGTGATGCTAGGGTGAGGATGGTGGTTTTGGGGTGTCTGGCTGCAGCAGCCAGGGGAGCTGATGGTGCTCCACTGCCAGCCTCTGCAGCCTGCTCCTTTGTCCCCTGGGAGATGAGGGGGGTAAGCAAGGTGGGTGACTGTAAGGATGGAGGGGCTGCTGAGGAGGCTCTGCCCCCCCACCTCCCAGTGTGCAAATACTGCAACTTTTGCAAACTCCTGGATTTGGGGCTGGAAACAGCACTTTTGGGGGCTGCAGCAGGTGCTGCCCCATGGGCTGGGAGAACCCTGGGAGGGGTCAGCAGGAAGCACCTTGCAGCCACTAGGTCCTGCCAACCTGGCAGGCGTGCCCTTGTGCCAGGATAAAATGGCCCGTTTTCCCCTTGTTTGGGAGCAGGGACATGGAAGGAGCCTGCTGGGGGGCAAATTCGGCCTTTCCAGAGGCTGGGCTCAGTTCTGGGGGCAGAGGGATCAGATGAGGACAGTGGTGGGGACCTGATCCCCAGTGGAATCTGCCTGTGGGACCCCCATGCTGCCTGGGGCGAGGGGCAGTCATGGGGTTAGCAGCTGCTGGCAGGAGTTCATTGCTCCAGGGATTACAGTGATCCTCTCCAGATGCCCTGCTGTGTGCTGAATGATTTCTGAGTCTTAAATATGTTTTTCCTGCTAAATTGGAGGTGTTTGTGTCCACGGTGCAAGGGCCAAGTCAGTGTTTGCTTTGATCCCTAAAATCTCAGCTGGTCAGGGGGGATTTTGTGATTTGCCCTGTGTGTGGTGGAAAATCAGATGCAAATTGATTTCTTTTGAAAAAGTTTCTTTTGAAAATGGAGCTCTGCAAGGCAGCAGATTCAGGGCTACAATCCTGAATCTTCTGCCTGTCCTTTTAGCTTTGCAGACTCTCCTTATGGTTTCTGCTCTCCTGTCAGCATCGTGACTCCCACCTTGGCTGTACTTTAAAGGAAGAAGCTCTTGTGGGTTCAACACTTTTCCCCAGATGCCAAAACTCAGCCTCTCCCATGTAGTTTTCAACCCACTAATTGTTCTCTTCTCCCAGGTGGTCTCTAGTCCCGGTGACAGCAACAGGACCAAGTGATGCCACGCACCTGCCTCTGCCCGTGCACACTGGCATGCTTGCTGCTGGCTGCAGAGAGATCCTGACAGATCATGTTGGTCTTGGATGTGTGGTTGATCCCCACCTCCTCCTCCTCAGCCTCCGCCACAAAACCAGTTCTGCCCCCTTGTGCAATGGCAGCTCCACCACCGCTCACCTTTGGCTCCATGGAACGGCAGCGCCGTGCCCTGGGAGCAGGGATGTCACTGTGCTGCCACTGTCCCTTGTGGTGACATCCACAGTGGGTAATGAAGAGGTAATGAAGGTGTCACTCAGAGGCAGCCCCACCCGATGCACCTTTGGATCTGACACCCACCTCCCCTGGCCTGGCAGCACCCACGGGTGATGAAAGCCATGCTGTGTATCAGAATGAATCACTGGCTGGGCTTCACGCTGTGATTCCTCAGTGCCCCTGGCTCTGGAAATGGTCTTTCCTAATACAAGCTCTTGCAGTGGAAATGAAACCTCAGCAGGTCCCTGATGCACCCTTGGCTCTGCTGCTTTTGCAGCTGTTGGGTTTTTTTTCTTAATTGTTATTAATTTTTTCCCCCAGGGTATGATGACAATTCCCTGGGGCTTGGTGCAACTTGGGTGTGAGGTTTGCTTTGCTTCCCTGCATGTCACTGCAGTGATGTGATGTTACTGGAGGTGCTGAGCCCATCCCATTTTGGGGATGAGATACCCCAGCGTTGGGTATAGCAAACCAGCCTTGTTTGTTGCAGCTCCATAGGGATTTGCTAGATGTCAATGTTCATTAAGGTTTGGGTAGATCAGTTGAGCTGATTTGGGTTTTGGTAAGGAAAAATAACAAAGCAGGAAGAAATCCAGTGCCACAGTGAGGAGTGATGTTGTTTTAGCCTTCCTCCATAAGGAAATGGGGCTCAGGAGGTCCCGGTCTGCACATAGGCATCCCCAAATCTTTTGGATGCCTGTGTTGTGTCTGGGTGATTAGTCAGGAGGCAGCGACTGAAAAGGGAGGAAATCCTTACAGAAATTCTGGAAACAGCTCAGAAGAGAAGAGGGACCCTGTAGGGGTCAGGATTGGGTGCCAGAGCTTCTAGGGACAGATTTGGGGTGACCTGGTCCCTGGCAGGTGCCCCTGGGCTCGTTGTGTCCCCCAGCACAGAGGAGGGAGGGAGCGGCCCCGCAGCAGCAGCGGTTTGGGCAGGCACAGGCAGCCGCGCAGCCGTGCGCTGCCCCTCCTTCCCAACGCCGGCTCCCTGCTGTGGAAAAGGCCGTTTTTCTCCCCAAAACAGCTCCCTCGAGGGACAGGCGGTGTGTTGCTCCCTCTCCCCGGCAGAAGCGAAACCCTATCCCTGTCCTCAGCGCTCCGCTTGGGTTTCTCAGTCCTATTTCAGGCACTTGGCTCCTCTGCCTCTCCAGCGTTTCCACTGCCTCTCTCCATCTTTTTTTCCGCTCCTCCGCTGCCGTCGCCTCCCCGTGCCCCCGCCGAGTGTCCTCCCCGCGGCCCCGCCGCCGCGGCTGCTCCCCGATATGGGCCACCAAGGCGGATTATTGCCATCGCTAATCTGCATTCGCCCTCCTCCCGGTCCTCCCCTGCTCCTCCCTTCTCCAAATCGCTGCTGTACGGCGCCGGTGTGCGGTGCCGCACGGGCGGACCGGCCACCCTGGAATGGCCAGCGCCGGGAGAGCCACCGAGCCGGGACTGCCGTGAGTAGGGGGCTGTGGTGGCCGGGTGGTGGCCGGGGTGTCCGTGCGGCGGGAGGCTGGGTGGCTCTCCGGCCGTGTCCACTGGCTGCGTCCTCCTTGGATTGTTTATCTTTTTCCATCCCTGCCCTTCCCGTGTCCTTCGGCGGCAGCGGGAGCCGGGAAGCCCGTCTGCGGTGGGTCGGGGTGCTGGGGTTGATCCCCTGTGGGTCATACCCTGCGTGGCCTCTGCTCAGTAGGGAGATGGCGATGGAGAACGGGGACACGGCGGGACGGAGGGGACAGCAGGTCAACGGTGAGGTCAGCGGTACCCCCCGGCTCCGGGGGATGGGGGATCCCCTGCTCCGGGACACGACAGCACCTGACGGCAGCAGGACAGAGGTGATGGCAGCGGGCTGGGAGCCGGGACCAGCGCTGGGTGACGAGGATGGGACCCCCGGGGGGGCCCCACAGCGAACAGGGCAGCAGGAGGAAGCCCTGATGACCGAGCTCTCAGAGCTGGTGCAGAAGGTGGTGAAGAGCAGCAGCTGGTGGGAACGGCACGGCGTGGACATCAGCATCCTTGCCTGCAGCTTCCTCCTGCTCCCGGCAGGTAACTCAGCTCAGCCGCCCCAAATTACAGCCAGGGGGTCCTGGGGGGGTCACACCGCCTCCTCATGACTGTTGCACTGCTGGGAGCCTGTTAGCACTTATTAAGGCTGTAACAAAGCCGCAATAACCCCTTCACTCCGTGACATGGGGCACCCGGACCCCAATAGAAACCCATAGCGGGTGACGATGACACCCAGGGTACACCCTGGGGTGAGGGGATGGTGGCACCTGGGGTACAGCCTGGGGTGAGAGAATGGTGACACCTGGGATACAGAGGGGTTGATATCTGGGTGGATGGGCACAGTGCAGGAGAGCGAGTCATGTGACCCCATGCCCAGCCATGGGACAGGGAAACCCTGGTGGTTTTGGTAGCAGTGGCCACCAAAAGTGGTGTGTGCAGGGAGACACAGCTGAGCAGGGGGTCTCCAGTGGCATGTTTGGAAAGCTGGGACCTTCCCTTGCTTTTGAACTCCTGGGGATGCTGAAATCCTGGCAGTCTCATGTCACCAGTGGGATCCCAGCCAGAGCTGTGGGGTGGGATCTGTCACCAGCAGCACCCAGTGCCATCGCAGCTGGAAGTGTCTAAACCTTCAGTGTGATGGCCTGAGGGCAGTGAGGAGGCAAACTCCCTGGCTTGGGTGATGTAAATATCTGTCATCATGGCTGAAGAACAGGTTTAGGGCAATGGCATGTTTGGGTGCAGCAACACCTCCAGCCTGGCTCAGAGGGCTGCAGGACATGTCCGTGCCCAAACTCCTGCCCGGCTGGTTTCTCCACAGGGTTCCTGTGCCTGCGGTCAGCCCAGACCATCCCTTTCCTGGCGGGTGTCCTCACCCTCGGCGTGGTGCATCACACCCTGACCGTCAAGGGCAGCCACCTGGCCAGCCACAACGCCTTGACCGAGTCCAAATCCTGGGGCAAAGTGTGGGCCATCTTCTTCATTGAGGTGAGTGGGGCTGGGGGGCGTGGGTGGCAGCCCCCCAGAAACGCCCCATCAGCACCTTACCATATTGGGGAATGGTGGGAGTGGTTTCTAGTGCTTAACTCCAAAAAAGTCCATTTCCAGATGGGTTTGGAACCCATGGGGTGCAGAACGTCTCCCCTGGGTTCCTCTCCCACAGGCCCAAGCCAGGCAGCGCCCAGCCCTGGCACCATGACTGTAAGCACCACCTCTCCTTTCTCTTCCTGCCCAGCTCTGCTCAGCTTTCACAGTCGAGCAGGCCACCTACAACCACGTGAAGATCCACCACGGCTACACCAACGTCATCGGCCTTGGGGACTCCAGCACCTGGAAACTTCCTTTCCTGAACCGCTACGTCTACATGTTCATTGCCCCTCTCGCAGTGCCCATCTTGACCCCTCTGGTTGCACTTGGTATGTGTCCCAGCCACCCTGGGACAGGGTGCAGGGAGCTTGTGACTGTTCAGGTCTCACCCCACCCAAGGGTCCTGCTTGCTTTGGAGGCATCACATTAACTACACCAGCCCCTGGTGGGACAGGACATCAGTCTGCAGCAAAGGCAGGAGATGCTGCACTTGCCCTGGGGCAGCATCTGCTGCATCTCCTTTCTGCTGGTGCTCAGAAAACACTTTGCCTTTCCCTGTGTTGGATGTTGAAAGCTCTGGAAAAAGCCACTATGAGCCTGAAGCACTCAAAATTTGCTGTCCTTTAACTCAGACCCTCTGCCATTGTGGGGTTCAGTGTCACACATGGGTCTCAGGATGGTCAGAGCATTGCACGGGGTGTGTTTGATGGCTGCGTGTGGGGTGGAGGGCGTGGGGGCTGGGATGCAAAGAGCTCAGGCAGGCAAAGTGGTGTCTCTGGGGAAATAATGGTGCCAGGAAACGATCAGAGAGAAGAGCTCAGAAAGCAGTGAGAGCCTGAGGAAACCCAGCCCTCTGGGCTGCACAACCCAGCTCTGGGCAGTGCCGAAAGCACAGACAATGACTTGACAAGTTGTAAGAAACAAAGATGCATCTGAATCCCTGATGTGATGATGCACAGCTGGATCAGCTGCCCTGAGGAGGCTCTGGGACCCAGCCCCAAAAAACAGCAGGTCTATGGGATTTGGGCCAACCTGGAGGATGGGGAAAGGGAGATGATGGGACAGGTTGTAGGGTTATTGGCACACTGGGTAGCCTGGCTGCTGGTGTAGCAGTGGGGCAGGGAAGCATCAGCACCTCTCCCATGTGCTGCCTCTTCTTCCTTGTGCAGATTTGTTGAGGAATGTGGAGTGGAAAGCAGCTCTCCGGACTCTCTGCTGCATGTTCCTGGGTTTTTACTGCCATTACTGGCTGCTGCTCCACGTCTCAGGCTTCCAGTCGCCGTGGTCCGCCCTGCTCTGCATGCTGCTCACCCGCTCCCTCCTGGCACATCCCTACATCCACGTCAACATATTCCAGGTAGAGACCTGAAGCTCCAAGATATCTCAACAGTGCTGGAGATAGACCAGTGACCATCCAGTGCTGGTGACATAGCCTCAGCTGTCACCTCCCTTGTGCTGATGTTGTCACTGGGAGGATCAGGCTGGTGGTGCTGGGTGGGAAGCGGTGGTCCTGGGAGAACATCAGGCCACGTGGGTGTGAAGTACAGGAGGGTGATGTTGTCTGCAGTGGCTTTCAGGATTGGGAGGGTTGCTGTGTTTGCAGGTGTTGGTGCAGGTGGTGTTACAGGTCCTGGGATGGGAAGAGGCCTGTGGCTCAAAGTGTGGGTGAGTTGGGGGAACAGAGCCTGGGAGCTCCTTGGTGTCCATGGACAGACAAGCACAGGATGGAATGACTTTAGGGACAAACCCAGCTCTGGGGTTTGCAGTCAAACCTCAAAATGTGGCTCAGCCTGGCCCACGCACTGCCAGGGCTGCCATTGGCTCTGCTGGGAAGAGTCTGGGGAGGTGACGGGTGCCACAGGGTCCCCATCCTGCCTGTCCCGCAGCACATCGGCCTCCCCATGTTCGCGGCCGATCGCAAACCCAAGCGGATCCACCTCATGAGCCTGGGTGTCCTCAACCTGCCCCGCAACGCCCTCCTCGACTGGTCCTTCGGCCACTCGCTCATCAGCTGCCACGTGGAGCATCACCTCTTCCCCAGCCTCTCCGACAACATGTGCCTGAAGGTGAGGCAGGCCTGCAGGGTGGCTGAGAGTGTTGGGAGGTGACACGGGGACGAGACCACCCACCTCCCCACCACCTCCTCTCCCTGCCGCCAGACCTCTCTGCGCTGCATTCCCCCTGTTCTAGAGACCTCTCACTGCTTTTTGGCAGCCCCTAACTGACCTCCCTCCATCCCATTCCTGTTTCTCCTGGGTTTCTGCTCCCTGCTCCTTCTTCTGGTCCCAGTTCCAGCCCAAAGCAGCCTTCCAGCAGTCCAGGATCCTCCCAGCTCTTCTGCTGGGAAAGTATCCCAAGTGTTGCGCAGTCTGATTTTTGGTTCAGCCGGCCTCCAGGCAAACATCCTATAATTTTGGTCATGCCCTTACTTGTTGCTCTGAGGTGTGGAGTGTGTTCTAAAGGGGCTCTGAGCACTTCCCCAGCTTGAGGGGATCCCAAGACAGGTCCGTGTCCTTCAGCACGGGATCGCCACTTGTTTAATACTGTGCCCTTATTTTCAGTGCCCTTTGCTTGAGCTCACGGGGCTGGCAGGACCTGTCTCCCACACAGACGTGTTGCAGAGAAGGGGGTAATTATGTAGTGGCACCTCCCAGACCCGCTGCCGAGCCAGCTGTGTGGGCACATGGGATAACTACGGGTGTGAGTGCCGAGCATGCGTGGCTGGCTCTCATTAGGGCACCTCTCCTAATTCAGAGCCCTACAAAGGCATTTTGCCAAGGTGAACTCCCTGTGTTGCTGCAACTGGAAACCACCTTCCTCTTAATTTTCATGGCAAAGGTGTTACGGCTTGGTGCTGCCTTCTCCAGCCGTGCTTTGGGCATGTGGGATGGGTTTTCTGGGCTCCTTTTGGGGTGCCTCAGGCTGGGAACATTGTCCAAACACCAGGGTATCCCACACAGAGGTGACATTGCCTTTTCTTTTGCAGATCAAGCCCATTGTCTCCCAGTACCTGAAGCAGAAGAAGCTGCCCTACAACGAGGACACCTACGGCTCCAGGCTCCGGCTCTTCCTCCAGAGATACGAGGAGCTGATGGTCCACGCTCCCCCCATCACAGAGCTGGTGGGCATCCAGTGAGGGCTGCAGGACTCGGGGGGCTGCTTCCCACGGGGACTTGCAGCAGGGATGGTTTTAGCAGGATTGGGGCTGCACAGACCAACACTTCCACAAAGCCATCGTGTGGGAAACGTCCCTCCCCGATGTCTTGCTTTTGGCTAGAAAACAGTGCACAGAGACACTGCAGGAGAGCCAGGCGGTGCAACACCAGGGGCAGAAGGATCAGGGTCCCCCCACAGTTATTCCCAGCCAGGGCTTAGTTTTATCCACTCTGCTTTCACGCTTGGGGAGAGGAACCCCCCCTCTGTGAGAGATGCAGCACTGTGTCCAGGACATCCAGGACTGATAACCACCAGGATCTGCAGGATGGAGCTGCCACTGTGTGGCTGGGGGCTCAGGGAAGGGATGGATGGTGGGGAGGGGGTTGTGTCACTGCTGCTTGTGCTTTGCCTGACTTTGGGCTAAATCAGTCCCTTTTAGGAACATGGTTTGGCAAATTCAGCCTTAACACTTTGAGGTGGATTTTCTTTATTATGTTTTGTTGCTGTAACAAGTCATACAGGTATTCCATGGTGCCTGGGGTGGGGCTGGGGGAAAGGCCCTCACCCCATGGGGGTTGTCTGTATTGAGGTGCTGGAGCTGACTCCAGACTTGGTCATTCCTATTGCAGGGGAATAACCTGCTGGATGCAGGTAGATGTCCAGGGCTTGGGAGACTTTCCCTGTTTAGGGAGGGTGAACTCTGCCCACAGCACTGCTGCCAGGGGCTGGGATGCTCACGTGGTTGGTTCTAACCCCCTCTGGGTTGCTGTGTCTGGCTTTACCAGGGTGCTCTGCTGTCCCAGACCTGCAAGACCGATGACAAAGTTCAGCCCAGCGTCATGGTGGGGAGCTCGCAGCAGAAAGGGCAGCTGGCCAAAGTGGGACCAGTGTGGCTTTGTTCTGAGCCTGGGGCTTTGCTCCCTGATTTGGGCTGTTCTCTCATCTGGGCTGGACCCCGACAGCCTCACAGCCGAGATTTATAAGGCTCCCTGTTGCAAATGTGTCCCAAGGCACAGGGATGCTCTGGCCCATGGCAGGGTGATGTTTGCAGCAGGCAGTCCATGGTGTTTTCCCTCCTGTGGGCATCACATGCCCCCTTCTCCACCACCAAGTGCAGGGACATCCTCAGACCCACTGGGAAAGTGTCCCTGTGTGGCCACTGTGACTTGGGGCCAGAGCTGGTGTGCCCATGGTGTATCCTGTGTAACAGATACAGACTTTTGGCAGGGAAAACTGGCCCCGGATCCATCCAGTGTGACCCCTTTGGCATCAGAAATGGGGCATTACTGATTTGTCCTGGGCTGGTGACATTGCCACCTCTATCTGGCCCCACGTGGGTTCATTGATCCAGGATATTGTGAAACATCCAAAGGGCAAATTCCCCTTTAGGCAGGGGTTAGGCTGGGTCTGTAGGTGGGGAGAAATCTTAGGAGGGCTGGATGAACCAAATGGCCCAAGAGTTCCTGTGGGTTGCTCAGGGGTGGCAGAGACCCTCCCCAGAGCTGCCCTTCTGCCCTGTGATTAATCTCTTAACTGAGCATCAGAGCTCAATTAAGGTCAATGTGCCAAGTTAAGGTGTTCCTGGCTCCAGCCACGGGCTGAGTGAGCATTAGAGGTGCTTTCGGTTCAGGCGGGGTAATCTCAGCCTCACGTGCTCCCGCTTGTGGGCACAAAATGCTCTTTATCCTCTCCTGCTGGAAAGAGATCCGTCCCAAAATGTTTCCAAGCATTGGTCGGAGCAGCAGCCCTTTTCCCAGCTGGACTCCATGGGTGTTGTTTAACGCAGTGCCATCTAAAGGCAAGTGCTCGCAGGTCCTTCAGCCAGCGGGAGGCGACTTGTGGTTTGGGAAATACGTGGATTATTCCTTGTCAGAAGAGGCGGATATAGAAGTTAATGAGGGAAAGGGAGAATTCTGGGGGGAAAAAAAGAGTATTCTGACCCGTAATCAGACACACCCCCCCAAATTTAAACTGAACCGTTTCTGTGGATGACACCTATGGTGATATTTGGAGCCTCTCTGGGCAGTGGGTTGGTGATTGCTGTGCTTGAAGCCATCGGAAATCCTGGTCCTTGCCCCAAATCCCCCGAGGGAGCGGGAGCAGATGGAGGCACAGGGCCAGCTGCCGTTCTCAGCATGCCTTTGCAGAAAGCCATCAACCAATTTCCAAGACCATGAGAGAGAGCGTGTGGGGTTTATGACCCGTATTACAACCAGCTTCCAGCTGTAAACTCCTCTCGCTCTTAATTGCATTTAAAAAGCCCTGTCAATGCTCGCCTGCGTGCCCTGGCATCTGTCCAGCTCTTAAACATCTCCTGGACCCGCTGAGATGGTTTTCCTGACTGGTGCATTGTGCAGGGGCTGAACCAGGACGGGGTGATGCTCATGCACGGGAGGTGGGAGTTGTTGCACTTGAACCGTGCTGTGATTGGGATTAAGGAGGAAATAAAGCAGGGACCGTGGTGGAGGCTGGATTTTGCCGCTGCCTCCGGCACTAGTGTTTTATCCTTTATCGAGGGGGTGCAATGGGTTTCTCCCAGCAAGGGGCAGGAGGAGGCTCTGCAGGGGGGTGGTTAAAATCGGTTTCCCCCGGCAGACCTTGGCAGTTGATCTCTTTGAGGGAATAAAGGGACGCCGGCAATTAACCCCCGCGGGGATGATGATGATGATGATGATGATTCGGGAGCGGGACGGGTACCGCGGAGGCCTCACCATAGAGAGCAGCGGCGCGAACGGTCGCGGCACGGCCGCGCCTTCCCCGCCTCTCTATGGTACCACTCACTTCCGGGCAGCCGCGGAGGGGACAGCGCGCCGCCATTGGCTGGGGGCGTGGGCACGCAGCGGCGGATGGGCGGGGCTATGCTAATAACAGCGCTGTCCCGACTCACGATTGGCCTGTGGGAATGAGGGGCGGGGCCGGGGCGGTGAGGGGCGGGGCTTGGCGGCGGGACCGGCGTTGGGCCGGGGGGACACGTGTTGGGAGCGGGGGGCACCGGGACCGGGACAGCCAGAGAACCAGGGCCGGGGACTGCGACAGCCGTGTCCCGCAGGCCCCTGCTCCAGCCCTGGGCGAGTGAGGGCCGCGGGACCCCTCGGGCCGGGCGCGGGGCCCCTCCGGAGCTCGGGTTAGGAGGTCTCAGTGGTGGCGCTCCGGGGCAGTTGACACCCCCCGCCTCCCTCCGACCCCACCGACCCCGGCCTGGCCGTAAGCGCCGAGGCTGCCGGCCCTGCCCTCGAGGCGTTTCCGCCTCCCCGGGCCGGTACATAAAGCCCGGCCCCGCCGCGCTTTGGCCGCGGTGATGGCAGCGGGACGAGCCCCGCTCGGTGGGTGCCGGGCTCCGGGGAAGGGCTGTGGTGGCCCCTGGCAGGTGGCAGCTCTCGTGTGGCCTCATGCCTTCCCTGTCGTTCTCCCCTGCAGGGCTGCGGCGGTGGCTGTCCTCGCCCGCCCCGGCGCCGCGGGTCTGCGTGGTGGGCAGCGGCCCCGCCGGCTTCTACACGGCTCAGCACATCCTCAAGGTACCGGGGTGAGGGCCGGGATCTGCAGCTGAGGGAGGGAGCTGGTGGTGCCTGGCTCTCAGGGAGCTGGGGGGTGGTTTGGTGGGGTCCTGGCCCTGCCCCAGCCTGGTCTGTGTTGCTGGGGGACTGCTCGGGGCAGCCCAGACCCCACAGCATCCTTCTGGGCCCTTTGGCTGGGGCTGCCTCCATCCCTGCCCTGACCCTGGGCCGTCCTCACCAGACCCACGTTGGTTGCTGCGAGTTCAACCCAAGTGATTTTTCTAGAATCAAATAAGCAGCAGAAATCTGCCTTGCCGGGAGCTGTTGTCACCCAGCAGGAGTGACATTAACCGTGTGTTAAAAGCGGATGTGTGGGACCTGCTCTCCTCCCTCATCCTCACCCAGCTGAATTAAGACACGTGGGTGATGCTTTACCTGGTGTCAGTGCTCTGGGCGGTCAGGTCTGCTGGGAAATGAGACCTGAGCACAGCACTGGGCTGCTGGCACCCACCAGAGATGCAGCAGCTTAACCCCGTCATTAAACCATGCTGTGTTGTCTCTGGTACGTGTTGGAAAATAGCTGTTACTAAGCCTCAGGGACAAATTTCAGGGCTGCTTAATCTCCGGGAAGAGGCTGACTCAAAATACAAGATAACAAAAGCCCTGCAGCCAAACATCTGTCTAAAGCTCCGACCCTGATGTGACTCGACCCCAGGGGATCTCAGGGCATGGGCATCTCTGCTGGGGGCTGGCAGATGTCTGGAAGGTTCCCCAGCACTCAGGGTGCTGCACTGGGTGCTTCCCACGTGGTGTGGGGGCTCTTTTGATCAGCCCCCTCTGGGTACTGGACAGCCACCAGGTTAGTGTGGAAGAGGAGGTGGGTAGGGCAATGGAGCCCTCACGAGATGTACTTGATGGTGGTTGGGGTCACTCTGCCACACACCCTGGGATCCGAGCTGGCAGTAACAAGCACACCATCATCCTGTGCATGGAAAAGTCTGGAAGAGGCTGATTCTGGCTATGGAATTGTGGTGCAGCCCTCCCTCCTGCCCCATGTTTCCCCCAGCAGCAGATGAATATTACTGGGTTCCTGTGACTTCTCTGTCCTCATCCCATAACTGTGACTTTCTTCTCCCACAGCACCACGGTGGGGCCCAGGTGGACATCTACGAGAAGCTGCCCGTTCCCTTTGGGCTCGTCCGTTTTGGGGTGGCCCCAGACCACCCTGAAGTGAAGGTTGGTGCTCCCTCCCCTTGCCCATGTGATGACAGTGGTGGGTGCAGGCGAGGCAGTTGCTGTCCCCAGGCTGTGGTGTGGAGCTGTCACACTTGGAGAGGTCCAGATCTCCGTGCTGAGGCCTTGGCCTGGTGATACGGGATGCCTGGGATATCTGGCATCTGGACAGCAGGTCAAAAACAGTGGCTTGTGATGGGAAGTGCTGCCCCCAGTGCTGGTCAGCCTGGCGTAGAGCAAGGCCAAGGAAAACCTGGATGGGCTTCTTTGTACCTGGACACTATGCCAGCAGGATCTTGCCTGCTCATTGCTGCTGCTGTTTGCCCTTCCTTAATCTGTACTTGTTCTGGGAACACACAGATCTGCTGTTAGGGGTGGTGGAACTGGGCTGTAGGTGCTCACCTGGGCAAGGAAAAGTTAAGCCAAGGATTTCACAGCCATTTTCCTTTGCCTGGCAGTGAGTTGTACTCAGAGGTGCCTGCTGTGTCTGACCTGGGGTGGAGGTGGTTGGAGGGGTGGGACACAGGAGATCCAGACATGGGAGATCCAGACACAGCAATATCTTGCAGTGGTTTCCTCTAATCCCTGGAGATCCAAGACCAAAATGCCTGGACCCCTTTGCGCTGAGAGAGGCAGAGTGGACCTAACAGATGTGGGCTTGGGTCTGTGGTATCTGTCCTGTCTCCAGGCTGAATCCAGCTGGAGCTGCAGGAGGAGAAGTGGTGGTTTTACTGGGTAGCCCGAATTACTCAGA